CTGTGCTCTTCAAATTCGCCCTACAACTTTTGTCCAGAATGTTTTTTTCTTCTTGGAATATTCCACCTATACCCTCATATCCCATGAAAAACAGACAAGCAGGTCAAGGAGGTAATGGGGCCTAGGATTATTTATAATCTTGGCTATTCTGAGTACTATAAAAGTTTAGCACTTTTAGTGGCCAACAAAAAGATTAGAAGTTAAAAGTCTCAAATATGCCAAAAAACAAAACAACGCAAAAAAAAAATCCTAGACATTGAAAACTCTACAAGGTGCAGTTATACACAGATGTACATGGGACCCATGAGTCACAGGCAACCCAACAGCATCCGTTAAGTGGTATGCCATTAGAAGGACATTTATTTTCAGTCTGAATGAAATAAGGAGTGTGAAAATGGTGTGGGAGAGGTGTCACACTACCTCTAGCTTCATTAAAAGGAAAGAAAATCACTATCAACATCAACCCAAGACTGATTCCTATCAAGTCAGGCATGCCTCCACTCACCCAAACTTTTTACCAAATCTCACACCAACTGGCCCTCCAATAGCACTCTCTACTTATCTATTAGGCTCAATAATTGGTCACAGTGATCAAACGGAATACAAAGGCAATGCTTGTAATTATGGCACTTATTAGGAAAATCAGTTTGTAACTTAGGCTCAGGAGTGGTCAAAAGATCGTTCTTTAATCAGGTGAACATCCCCTTAGTTTGGCCTTAGGCAAATCTCTCTGGCTAAGGGCTTCTCACAGCACTTGAGCTGGCCTCTTGACTTCGCAGGTAAGTGTTACAAAGCTCTTGGAGTGATTAAGTGCCCAGAAGAACCCATGAGTAAGCCTGGGTCAATAGGCCCTCAGCTCTAGTTCCAGGGTTTAGAACACCCACCTCCACCAGCAAGTGCCCAGGTATACTTCCATTTACTAGTAAACCTGCCTACAGGCACACAGCTTTCGGATTCTGCTACTTGATGCTTCACATCATATCCAGTGTTACAGCTCTGTCTCCTAGATTGAAGATGTTCTTAGTGGAGGGAAGGCCAAAGGATGTGTTCCTTTTGGGGCTGTGCTGCCAAGTCATCAGAACTTCCTTCTAGATAGCAACAAGGACTCCCTTCTGCCTTTGAAATATTTCATTTTAAACCTTGCTGGCTGGCAAAACTGACCAATCACCACCTTAGAGTTACATACACCTTATTTGTATGGTCCTACCTTATTTCTATATTATTTATTATATCTCTTATTTACATTATTAGCAAACTATCTTTCCTTTGGTGAGCCTCAACACCTCACATCTGTATGTGGTATGAAGCTGTGCTGCATTCCTGAAGACACACAGTTCAAATCCATTAGCTACTCCATGGGAGAAAGATAGTAAATCTCCTCCTATGTGCTTAACTGCCTTTGAAAACTTGGCAGCCAGTCAGCTATGGGTCTGTTCTGACTCAATGGCACACAACAACAGTAACACAAATAACCTGATCATTTGATGGAAATCACAAAGACCTACAGGAAGTTCATGTTAATAATTCACGGTGTTGAAAGGAACCATTGCAGAATTTTGTGCCCATGACTGGCAAAACTTTTTTTTTTTTAAAAAAGGTTCATCTAGCTGTTGTGGTGAAAATGAGACTAGCAAGGTGAGTAGGAAACACAGAGGTTGGTAGTTCTTAGAGAATCACTGTAGTAATCTAGGGGAAAGGTAATAACTGTCTGAAACCATGGTGATAAGTAGTAGAAATGTCAGGATCTGCTTGGACTATGGAGGAGTGTGGATATGTGTGTTTTAACTTTTCTTATGGGAAATTTCAAACAAACATATAAAACTTGAGAGAAAAGACAAACTCCCAGACTCCCATTAAACACCCATATACACTTATGGTGATTCAGATACTTTTAAACAAGTGTCCGTTCCTGACCAATCTTTTTTCATCTGTAGTACTTCCCCTTATTCTCCAACCCTAGATTAAATAAAAGGAAATACCAGATATCATATTTCATGTAAAATATTTCAACTTCTTTTACTCCCATTGCTTTTAACTATTGGTTATTCCATGGACTGCCAAAAGAACAGATTTGTCTTGTAGGCACACCAGGGTGTTTGTTTCTTAGAGGCAAGGGTGGCTAAACTTCACACTTTGGGAATGTTGTCAGAAGGTGTCAGTCCTAGGAAAGAGATATCTTGCTGAAAAAGATGGAGGATCAGAGAAAGAGAGAAAGACCTTCAACGAGATGGACTGACATAGTGACTGTAACAATAGGCTAGAACATTACAAAGATTGCCAAGATGGCACAGGATCTGCCATTCACAGGGCTGCCGAGTCGATGGTACCTAACAACAATGAAAACTTCCTGTCATGGGACTTAAAAATTTTTTTTTATTTTATATTGGTTTGATTACAAAGTACATACAGATTGTGTTTCACACTCTATTCTTCTTTCACGTTGTGCTTCATACAATCAGTCCCATCATTCTGTTTTGATGACTTCCTTGTGGCTTCTATTTCCTCCTTGTATCATGTATTTTTGGCTTCTTCTGTTACCACTGGCTCTGTTTGTCCTCTATAATCCTCTTCCCTTCCTACCTACTACCACCTCTGTTTCTCAAATTGAAACACCTAGAATGAGAACTTTTAGTCCATTCCATTGCTATTCTGTCTTCTGAAAGCCCTCATTAGCTGGTCAGCATTTGACTGATCCTTGGATCCAGCACCTTTTCCTGTTCAATCAGGGTGGTGTCATGACAAGATCAGTATTCCCAAAAAAGTGATCTGGAAATTACAATCACTTAGCAAATAATAAGCTACTCTCCAATGCTAATAAATAGGGAAAATGTTATACCAGAGAGAATATAAATTGTAAAAACAGTGAGCCTGGCATGAGGTTAGAAATAAGCAAATACCTAACCACTTACTTACCATTACTTCATCTTCTGAGCTGACTCCTTTGTCATTCTTTGGTGCTACTAGGGAAATAAAGGGGCTTTTACTCCTTAAGATGTTTTTGTTTATTACCATCTGAGTAATACAATAGATCATAATATATAGGACTGAAAGTCGAGACCTACATATAATTCCTAATAAACTTGTTTTGTGCTTTAGTTAGCTTAACTTTCAAATGATATTAACACTTAAGTTTTTCCTTATTTCCACATGAATACTGGGACAAGGTGAAAAGACTTTGAATTTCTATTTAAAAGGATGTAAAATCTAAAGAATTAGTATTTTACTGTATCAAAATTTTTATGAACTCAATAGTATATTTGAGCTGATTTTATTTTTTGCAAGGGCTTGTGTATTCACTATTCCTTTTAAGCATGCACTCAAACTTTTCTGTCCATGTTGTAATGTACCTGTTATATGTGTGTTTGCTTGGAACAGTGCCTGGCTATAAAATGAATTATAAATGCTATGGAACTCTGTTGGCCTTGTGTCAAGAAGCTGTACTGCAACCTCTGAAGGCACACAGTTCAAGGCCATCAGCTGCTCCCTGGGTAAAAGATGGACAGTCTGCTCCCTTGTGATTAACTGCTTCCAAAAACTTGCCAGATGGTCAGCCATGGGTCAGTTCCATCTCAGTGGTACATGACAACACCAACAACATATAAATGTGATCTATAATCTGTGTTAGAGTAGAAGCAAATTTATCAGAAGGTCATTAATTTGCTAGTGCTAAAAGAACTGACATCTCTCTTCATCTTCTAATATTTGCAAGTTGGAGTTGGTTCTGATTCATGGCGAATTTGTGTGTCAGAGTAGAACTGTGTTCACTTGGGTTTTCATGGCTGGTCTTTTTGAAAGCAGATTACCAGGCCTTTCTTCTGAGGCTCCTCTGAGTGAATGAACACTTCCAATTTTTCATTTAGTTGCATTAACCATTTATTATTATCAAGGGGAACTCATTTTAAGACACCCTCATTAAACTCAACTGCTTGAAACATCTAAAATAGTATATCCTGTGAGAACATAACTTAGAGGAAGGTCCTAGGAAGTGGCTGGAAGTGGATGTGTTGATGATTTTTTTTTTAAATAAAAGTAACATTTTTTTATGTCTGATGATCAGTTATTTCCAAAGGCTGAATATTGCATACGCTTCATCTGAATCAACTGAGAATTTTCTAAAATCCTGATTCTGTTTTCAGAGATTCTGATTTAGTAGATTAGCAGTAGAATTAAAAACAATAGATTCAAGGCATTCAGGTGATCCTAATGTTCCACCAGGAATGGGAATCACTGACAATGTGAGAAAATATAATACAATAATTTAGCACATCATTTGTTTTCTATCATATTATTTAAGGCAATATGATTGGGGAAGGGTACATTATCTATAAGATGGCACCTAACAATAACATATCCAGAGGAGAGAACTGGGAGGGTGTATGCATTACTATCAGCTATTGGTTTTATCTAGACTTTGGGTTTATGAAATATTTATTTTGTATTTATGCTTCTGTTTGTATTTGTATTTTGGATTGTGGTTATGTTTTCTAATTGGGCATTCGCTATTGTGGGGGTGGTGTGTATACAATCAAGTCAGAACCAACCCATAGCTAACCCTCCAGGCAGTTTTCAGGGGCAGTTAATAGCATGGGAGGAGATAGCTCATCCTTCTCTTGCAGAGCAGCTAGTCGATCTAAGGAAAATATTAGTCCTAGACAGTGTAAGATTTAAAAGACTCCTATGAAACTCATGGTCTTATTTCATCGAATGTGAAAAAAACCTTACAAATACCACAGTTTCTTTCTCACAATTTTATTTTAAAAGAGGAGGCTACAGAGCGATTTTGGCGCAGTGGTTTTCTGCTTTAAAAAAAAAAACACAATTTTTTTTAGAATACCAATAAATGCGTCCAAAACAATCCTAATTTACTTTCACTTTTTGAGATCTTTTACCAATATTTTAACCAATGCATATTAAAAGACTTTAGTCAAGGACGTTACTGGCTTGAGAAAAATCCTTTCAGCACAATGGACATATTCTGGAGTATATGTCAAGAACAAAGCTTATTCCTTCTTGAAGATCCTCTTAGCTTCCACTCCTTCGTACGTGTAAGTCTGAAATGTATGAACAAACATCAAAGAATTTGCCATTAAGATTTGAAAATTAATTTAGGAAAGATATTAGTATTATTACATCTTTCAAATGAATCTATAATATGTCATACCTATTTAAAATGTATTTTGGTTTGTAATGACACTTTCAGCTAAAATAGGTGTTGGTATCTGATGATAAATATAAATTCTCTTCAATAAACAGATAACAGAAAGTATCTTTATGTTTTTAAAATTAGTAACATATATTTAAAAAGTAGTAACTGCCTGAAGATATAATTAGGCAACCACAAAAATATTCTTTTTACATGATGATGTGCTTTTTGGAGAGGGAGGTCTTTGGGAAATAGTTTCAGCTATTTTTTTTTACAGCTCACCTGGACGAGTTCACCACCAATGATTTCTCGGACTGTATTGAGCTCTTTTCCGTTGTCTACTCGCTTGAATCTTCCAACAAGTTGGTTTCCCTCTATGGTCCAGGCTCCCTAAATAGAAATTGTGAGAGTTAAAACATGTGTCATCATGCATTGTTCTGTATCCTGTAGATTCATTTTTCCATTTAGTCTTCACAGTAACCCTATGCAGGCAAGAAATCAGAGATTGTGAATATATCTAACAAGGAAAAGGTATAAAATATAAAGCATTTTAAAATATCAAAATTATTCTTTTCAGAGTACTGAAGTTGCACATTGTTTGAGGACGTTCTAGTTGACTCAGAGAATAGAATAAATGTCCAATAAGCAAAAAAAAAAATTCAAGAGATCATGGAAAACATGATCATTTATACTTGATATAGGAAGGTCTAGTAGCACCTCTCTAGTAATTGAAATCCACCAGTTTCTCTGCAGAAGAAAGATGGGCAATCTCCTCCCATGTAATATGCAGCCTCTGAATACCCACTGCACGAGTTGGTTCTGAACCTATGGAAAAAGACAACTACAAAATAACTGGTCTTGGAAAGTTTCAAATATTTCATAGTTTGAATGGTTTTCTAAAGAGAACCTAAACTATATATTCTGATTCATTTGATATTTGTATTTTTTAAATTTCTTAGATGCATGTGAGAGGGCATCAATTTTCGAAGCTGGCATTGTTTTGAAATATTTTGTGAGGCTGAAATGATGTCAAGATTTGGAAATAATTCCTGTGTTTATTCATTCCTGTGGTTCTGACCAGTTGGAATCAACTTATAGCAGACCCTCTAGTGAGTTTTCAGAGGCTGTAAATCACGCTGGAGGAGATTGCTCGTCTTTCTCCCTCAGTGCAAGCAGCAGGTGGATTTGAATTGTATAACTTAGGATTGGTAGCACAACTCCTTGCTGCTAGGCCCTATTTCATCCCTTAGCTTATGCCAAAAATTCTATTCTGTCAGGTATGTAAAGTTGAAAACATTGACCTTTCCTTATGAATAGATCTATAGTCAGTCCTCCTCAAGATACTTTTCTGTTTCTTAGCATTAAGGTCAAACTATTCACAGACATGCATAAACATATTTCAATTCCTTTCAAATCCCTGCAATGGTAACATAAATAAAATCCACTGGTTTTTTTTTTTTCATAAATGAAGGTGATTTGTATTAGGTAAAATAGCAGATGTTATATAATTGAGATTGTTTCAATTTTCTATAGTAGCAAAAGAAAGAATGCATTGCTAATTAAAAAAACACTCTCTTGCAATTGTGAATAACACTGCTACTCACAACTGCAAAAATATTGAAACAGTCCACATGTTCATCCACAATCGAATGGATTGAGAAATTTTGGTACATTCACATGATGGAGTACTACACAGCACTCAAAAGCAGTGATTTTGAAAATTATAATTTGGGAGAGACTGGCGAACATTATGTGAGTGAACTCGGTCTCATTTGGACAAATACTGCATAAGACCATTATTGTAAAAATAGAAGGATAATTTGTAAAATGTTTATGAAAGTCCAAGGGGGGAAAGAAAGGATGCAGGGGGGCTGAGAGTGGGCACAGGAGCAATCACAGAATTTGCTGGGTGGAGGGAGGAGTAAAGGAAATGGGAAAGATTTGGCAAGTACCTGAAAAGATGGGGTAATGGTGGACATAGTTCAGTAGTGATTAATTTTATAAAACACAATGTATGGGAATGATGTATGAAACATAATGTATATGAATGTTGTATGCAAACCAATATAAAATAAAAAAATGTTTAAAAAAAACCCAAAAAACTCTTACATTCAGTTCAGTTCCATCTGCCATGCTATAATTAAAATTAGCACCAAGTTCAAACACAATTTCAATGCTTCGAAAATTGCTTGATTCTTTGACTGTGAATTTATTTCCTTCTTGTGTAATTATCAGTTTCAAATTGTCGTGAGCTGCAAGCTTCCTTTTGACCACATTAATACCTGCAAAGAGAAAGAGATTGAAGGAAATAAAGTAAAAATGCAGAAGGACGTACTCATTTTCTTCATTTCTGTTTTAAAATTTTTGAGGGTGAAAAGGAAGCCCTTTGCACACTCAGGTCACTTGTACAAAAAGTTGAAATTTGAGCATATCAAAACAATAAAGATTTTTGTTTCCAAAATTAAGAAAATGTCAGCATAGAATTGCAGAGGTTTTTAATTTGGTACTTTAGCAAACATTTTATCTTTGTGCCATGCAAACCTAGTTCCAGAATGTCAAATGAAGGATTAAAAATAGGAAGATATTTTATCTTAGAATCAGTTTCACCTGGGCAGCCTTGGTGGGTAAGGAATTGCACTTCCAACTCAAAACCAAGTGGTTCAAATCCACCTGCTGCTTCACAGGAGAAAGATGGACGATGTCCACCCTCTGAAACCACACTAGAGGATCAGTTATAATTTGATTCTGGATGTACAATTGTAATAAAAAAGTTTATAAGGACACATACTTTTAATTCTGACTATACTATATTCTTTTTAAATAGCCTTTGGCTTTCTATAATGACGTCAGTTTTTAAATCTTTGCCATTCCCTTTGATTTTTTGTGATATTTCTGGCTGACACACAGATGGAAAAATTAGTAAATTTTACACTCAGATTTGCTATTAGAAGGCTATATGTTGCCCATAAGTTTAAATTTGTAACCCCTTACCTGTAGGATATCAGGGATACAAATTTTCTTTCATTGATGAAACAATTTGTCCTTTTCCTGCAGTTATTAGACTGCAGGCAAATTGAAGTACATTTTAAAATCAGTTAAATGAAAATCATCAAGTAAAACACATAGTTGGATGAAATTATTCTGAAAATTTTATAAATTAGGAGCATAAAGAATTATTTAAATCAATAAAAATTTGGCCATGATTTTCACTCCATTTTTAAAAAATTATATGTAAAAAACTTATCCATATGCAATGATACAGAAGAAATCAGCAGTTAAACAGTGAATATATTAAAGATTTTTTTTTTCTTTCATTTTTGCTTTTCAAGGAGAAACACTAACTAAATATTTTTCTGCCAACACCAAAAGTACACTGCAGTTTGAATTCACCAGCGACTTTGCAGAGAAGGTTGGGTCATCTTCTCCTTTATGATTAACTGCAATTAACTGCCTCTGAAAACTGTTACAGTCACTGTGTTAACTTAGCTTGGTGGAGGTATTTCTCTCTTTCTCTTACCCTCCACCTTTCCCAGCATGATGTCCCTTCTGACCGCATGCCCAAAGAATGTGAGATGAGGTTTCACCATTCTTGCCTCTAAAGAGTACTCTGGTTTCACGTCCCTCCAACACAGACTTATTTGTTCTTTTGGCAGTCCGAGGATTAACTTTTGGAAGAGTACTGAATAGTGAGATAAGGTAGGATATACTTTTTCTTTCTTTGAAGCACCACATTTTAGATCCTCACTGTCACACCAAGTGCAATCCCCGAGCTCAGATGTTTAGAGAAAATTAGAACAAAAACATGTCTGTGGTAAATTAGAGAAGCAGTCACTAAAGAAAAAAGTTCTTACCCAGTTTCTCCATGAACTTGTCATAGTTCTCATTCCGGTCAACCTTCCAAGTACCGTCGAATGCCATGGTCTTTAGGTGAGTAGGTCTCTAGGAAAGCAGAGATTCAAGTCTGTACTCCGCAGAAAATTTATTCAACTTCTTATCTTAGAACCAATTTTGTACTGTGATGTGGAGGTTTAAAGTTCAAGAGATTATACTCTAATGCCCCACCATTCTAGCACGTCTTTTCACAAACTCCTTAGCTCCTCTCCTGAAATTCACCAACGTTTAAAACACAATAAGCCTACTCTGTCTTAAATGACACTTGGCAATTATTATTTATTTTAAGAATTTAAATGCTTGCTTTCTGAAACTAGTCTTTCTACTGAAAAGTTCAAAGTGCACACTGTATTGGTCATAATTTAAAGCCTATATCTAAGAATATCTGGGAAGTGAGGTGAGGCAATTAATGATCTACTCTTCATTTGCAATAGCAATTGCCTTATAAAATAAGGCATTATGGCCAAATACAACTGAAAAGGTAATGTGGTGGCAGAAATTGAAACTTTATTTTCTAATATGGCCTTTTATGTTAGAATTGACTAGCAGTATGGATAAATATACTGGGACCTATCACCATGTGTAAAGGCTTATTAGAATTTTGTTCTAATCTGAGCAAAACTTCAATAGGCAAATATGTGGCAAGAGATAGAACTATCTTTAAACATAATGCCATGTACAGTGAATTAAAGCCATTTAAAAAAAAAAAAAAAGAACCTTTTTTCCCCTCCAAACTTGAAAGGATCAGAAGGCAAAGCTTAATATGTGTTTGAGCTGGGAATATGATTGTCATTACTACAAGTCATCAATCAGGTCATTTTGACTCATGACGACCCCATGTATGCAGAACAGAACTAACCGCTCTTGTGGCTTTCAAATGGATGACCTTTCAGAAGCAGATTGCCTGACTTGTCTTTTGAGGAACTTCTGGATGGGTTCAGACTGCCAACTTTTTAGCTAGTAAAAACTCACCGCCTTCCAGTTAATTTTGACTCATAGAGCCTCCGGTGGACTTTCAAAGCTGTAACTCATAATGATAGGGAGTGCCTATTCTCCAATGGAGTTACTGATTGTATAGTAATATATAGCAATATATTGTTTTTTGTGAAACAATCATCTAGGTTGTGTAACCCTGGTATGTCCACTTGCTGTACAGAGGTAACTTGTGGTTGCTGTGAAGCCGAACACTGTGATACTGATGAGTCAAATGCGAGAATGGTTACCCATGGTGGACAGTGTTTGGTGGAGCTCCCTGATTCATGCAAGCTTGGAAGCAGGAGTGGCATCCACTTCCATGATAGCTTGCCTTTGGAAACCCTATGAACCTGGAGAGAGGACGAAAGTTATACAGGAGTCCAGTACTTTCGTTCATGGGGTCATTATGAGTCACCTGTGACTCGACAGCACTTGACAACAACACAAACAACAGCAGAGAGAGAGAGCAGTTTGCCTAGTGGATAGAAAGCCATGGTCCCAAGCCAAAGGTGGGTGATTCTACTCCGTGATCCTCAGGCCTGCCTTTAATTGTTTTTGGTGAAACATTCTTTTAGGGCATGTAGCCCTGGTGTGTCCACTTGCTGTACAGAAGTAACTTGTGGTTGCTATAAAGCCAAACACTGTGACACCGATGAGTAAAATGTGAGAATGGTTACCCCTGGTGGACAGAGTTTGGTGGAGCTCCCCAATTAAAACAAGCTTGGAAGTAGCAGTGTGGCATCCACTTCATAACAGCTTGCCTCTGGAAACCCTATGATCCTGGAGAAAGGACGGAAGTTATACAGGAGTCCAGGACTTTCATTCATGGGGTCGCTATGAGTCGCCTGCAACTCGACTAACGGTAGAATGCTTAACCATTTGCCCCACTCAGGAGGTCTAGAAGTAGCTGGAAATATAACAAGAGAAGATTCATTTCATCTTTCTTCCATTGCTTCCGAGTAAGGATGAGTTGGACGAGGGAAAACTGTCTGAAGTGCACAGTTTTGATATTCACCTGGTTTGAACCTATTAATCATTAAAAAGAGACTATTACTAACATACATGACAGAATTTATAATCTAACAGTCATCAGGGAAGCTGCAGGCCTGCTGGAGATTTCCTTCAGGGTCAGGATAAGAATTTACCGCATATGTTTGAACAGGATGGTGGAGAACAGAATCAAATGGTTTTGTTGATTTTATTCACTGGACACCATTCATTTTGTAGAGCTCCTCGCTTTTTATTTCAGTAAGTAAGCACGTTAAAAAGCAAGCAGTCCATCTCTCTTTCACACATACTCACTGATGTAGTTCATTCTGATTCACAGTGAAGTTTTATTAGATTTCTGTACATCTTTATCAAACTGCACAATGTTCTCTTTCTGAGGCGATGGTGGGCTCACACTGGTGAACTTTTGCTTAGGAGCTTGAGGCATTGTGCACTATACCACCAGTTCTCTTACACTATTTATTTGTTATTATGTGCTGTTGAGTGAGAACCGACTTATGGCTGACCCTCCGGTGGGTTTTCAGTGACTGTACATCACACCGGAGATTGTCCACCTTTCTCTCGCAGAGTAAATGATGGATTTGAACAACATGGCTTTTGGTTGGCAGTGCAACTCTTTACCCACTAGATTATAGGCTCATTACTTTGTTGGAGAAACCAAAACCAAACCAAAAACACTGGACCACACACATGCACATATGTGCATATATACTTTAAGAGAACAAAATTTTAGAATAAAAGGAAATAGTTCAATTTTCGCTCATAATTTTAGCCTCATAAAAATTCACAGTGTTGGAGCTCTGGTGGCATAGAGGCAAGAAGCCCCTCTGTAATCCCAAAGGCAAGTGGTTTGAATCTACCAGATGCTCTGCTGGAGAAGAAGGAGGGGCAATCTCCTCCTGTGCCAGTCAGATCTGATTCAATGGTACACAACAAGAAAAAAAAAAGAAGAAAAAAAATCACCATGTTGTCTTTGTTTTTATCTATTTTGCTAAAAAAGTGAACCAGTGAAACCTAAGCATTTCGAAATCATACTGATGTGTACTTTCAACCTGGGAAAAAAAGTAGAAATGTTCGTGGTTCCTATAAAGCCTAGGACTGAGCTGTCTCCAGAAGAAAATGTTAACGGTGAGTTCTGCTAACATGTGGGAATGTTGAACTTTAAGTCTTCTTATGTTTTTGTTGTTGTTATGTGCCATCAAGTCACCTGCGACCCATAGCGACCCTTCTTGTACAGCAGCTCTGAACTCTGTCCTGTCCTGAACCAGTCTCACTAATTCCAACACACCAACCCCATTGCCTCAGTTACTGTATCAATCCTTCTCACTCAGGGACTTCCTCTCTTGCACTGGCCCTCAACCCTTCTCTGCACAATTCAAAGGCATCGATTCTTCTGTGACCTTTAGTCATTGTCCAGGGTTCTGATGCATAGAAAATAATTGCAAAGACCATGGCCTGGATTAGGTGCACCTTAGTCTCTAGACTGACATCATTGCTTTTTAGTACTCTGGAGAGGTCCCTGACAGCAGATTTTCCCAGTACAATTCATCTTTTTATTTCACTACTGCTGGTGCTTTAGCTTATAGGGTACAAATCATTTATTTAAAGTCAGAATCTTTTGTTTTGAGTGACATCATTGGTATTTTTTCTTTGCCTCCAAACCAGTAGCCATTTATTTAATTCACTTTTATTTTCCCTAGCAGCACTTTTTGTTGAATTCAAGCCAGTGATTATTCTTAGTCAACTCCCTTTATGTCTTGGTCCACTAAGGCCATGGTGGTCCATTGATCAAATGCCTGTCTGCTAACCAAAAGCTCATTGGTTTGAACTCACCAACCAGCCCACAGAAGAAAGATGTGACAATCTGCTACCATAAGAATTGCTCCTGTTGTTATTGTTGTTAAGTGCTGTTAAGTCAACTATAGCTCATAACGCCCTTATGAACCCTGCCCTACCCTGTCCATCCTCATTCCCATCACACTTGAGCCCACTTTTACAGTCTCTGTGTCAATCCATCTTGGCGAGGGTCTTCCCTCCTTCACTGACCATGCATGATGTCTTTTAGGCTGAGGATTAGTCTCTCCTTACAACATGCCCAAAGTCCCTCCTTACAACATGCCCAAAGTATGTCCAGTGAAGTTTTAATATCTTGACCTCTAAAAGCACCCTGGGTTCACCTCTTTCAAAATATACTTGTCTGTCCTTTTGACAGCACATGGAATATTCAGCATTCTTCTCCAGTACCATAACTCAAATTTCTCTTCTTCTGTTATTCTTATTTATTGTCCAACTTTCATATGCATAGCAAATAATTGAAAAGGCCATATCTTGAATCAGGCACACCTTAGTTTTCAAACTGACATCTTTTCTCTTTAGCATTTTGGGAAGGTCCTTGACAGTGGACTTTCCCAAAGCAAATGTCTTTTGATTTCCTGGCTGCTGGTGTCAAGGGTGTTGACTGTGCTCCAAGGAAGATGAAATGAGATGAGAGCAGTTCCATCCTGTCTCACAGGTCACTATGAGTTGGGATTGACTGGCTGGTGACTGACTTGTTGACTTGGCCAGACTTTGTGGTTGTTAACCAGAAATGTGTGTTTTTTGCTACTCTGCATGATATCCCAGGCTTATTCATAGCAGCAGTAGTGTCCAAGAGAGTGAATCTGTAAAAGTCTCAGAACTAGCACCTAGACTTTCCCACCTTCTGCTGTAGGAAAACCAAGATAAAACAAACAGAACACACAACTGACTCAGATTCAAAACCAGCTGTTAAGAAGGTAATTTTGACTTAACTATGTCAATGCTCCATAGTGTTTTTATTTTCTGTTTTGTTATTGCTCCATGGGACAAAAATGGGCAATTTCCTATTAAGTGCTATTAACTGTCTTTGAAAACCCACTGGAGGAGAATCAGCTATGGGTCAGCTCTGACTATGTAGTACACAACAACAACAACAAGAACTTTCACAAGGTCACAGACATAAAAGCCCTGTGACACAGTTCTTCTCTACACTCAGTGATGGCAGCTGGTTTGGATTTTTTGTTTGT